TTCCGGTGATGTCAGGGGGTGTGGCCTTATGACACACTTCCGGTGATGTCAGGGTGTGTGGCATATGCTAATGAGTTATGCTAATGAGTTCCCCTAGCTCTTTTTCTACAAAATGACCCCTGGTTAAAACCAAAAATAAAATAGCAAACCCCAAATCTCTTCCCCCACCCACCCAATAAAAGACGCCTGCCAGTCAGACCCCTGGAGAAATCAGTTCCCAACAACAGTCTTTCAGAAGAACACAGTTTATTGAGACATTGATATAACCCAGTCTCTTGATGTTTCTGTGTTAGAACTGGGGGAAAGCGCGCGAAGCAAGCCATTGTACCTAAATCAAGCAGACCTCTTAACCTCTGAGCCACCGCAGCCCTTTGGTCCTGTTCATTGAGAGGCAAACGATGACCACCAAAACCTGGACCATTAATCCTGGCAAACCGAGGAAGACGCGTGATCAGCATTCAGTAGGAACGCCTGGACTCGAAGGCCTGTGACACGCAGCCCCCTTTTCTCCGCAGGTCCAGTGGCTCCTGGACAACTACGAGACGGCGGAAGGGGTGAGCCTCCCCCGGAGCACCTTGTACTGCCATTACCTGCTGCACTGCCAGGAACAGAAGTTGGAACCGGTCAACGCCGCCTCCTTCGGCAAGCTGATCCGCTCGGTGTTTATGGGACTCCGCACCCGTCGGCTGGGCACCAGGTAAGCAGGCCTGCGAGAAGGTTCCCCTGTGGACTCCACCTTCACCCCCAGCCCCGGCTTAGGGAGAAAGAACGGGAGAGCAGGGAAGCTGTAAGCCAGGGGTGTCGAACTCATGAGGGCCGGATCTGACCTAAATGAGGCCTTGTTGGGCCGGGCCAGGTGTGTCATAAAAGGTAATGCCAGGTAGCGGAGATATAAACTTTATAAAGGACACAAACACAAAGGGTGTTTTTTTTTACTTCGAATAAAAACATGCTTAAAACATCAGCACTCTTGCAATATTTTCTTTATTTAACAGTGTCTGATAACTGACACCTCTTGGCTCTGAATCATTGCGTCAAAAGGTCTGTGCTGTTGCAGTCTTGAGTATGCTGTTCAGGTGTGCATCTGTAAGCTGCAAACCTACTTTTGATTTATCGACATCCGCCACAGAAACCTCATGCTCAGAGTTCTGAGTCTAGGACCCAGGTTAAAACATGAGATGGCTGAGTGATTGAGGGAGTCCGGCGAAGCAAGCTATGATGATGCAGCAGCAGCAGAACTGGAAGCAGGAGATGGCTGGTTCCACTGTGGGCCTGATGGAAGCCCTCTCGGCCCCCGGGCCGCATGTTTGACACCCCTGCTCTAAGCGATGCTCCCTCTAAGCTGTGGAGTCCTGTGAGCAAAAATTCCACGTTGTGAGCTGCTGGCATTAAAAGTTGTGAGCGAGCGATTTGGCCACTGTATAAAGTAGTTTGCTCTGGAGCCTTCCTCCCTGAGCGAAGACAAAAATGGGTGAGCCGGAGGCTAGAAAAACTGTGAGCCAGCTCACACTAACTCAGCTTAGAGGGAACACTGGCGCTAAGCTAGTTAAGACCAGTAGCGTGTTAAATAGGGTTGCCAGCTCCGGGTCGGGAAACACCTGGAGATTTTTGGGGCGGAGCCTGAGGAAGGTGGGGTTTTTTTGGGGGGGAGGGAATCCAGTGGGGTGCAATGCCATTTTAGCCCACTTTCCAAAACAGCCATTTTCTTCAGACGAACAGATCACTGTGGCCTAGAGATCAGGTGTAATCCCAGGAAATCTCCAGCCACCAGTTTGGTGTAATGGTTAGGAGCGCGGACTCTA